GGAGAAATCAGGGCAACAACTTGAGCGTAGTGTCGTGTGAAGCCCTGTTGAGAAACTGAAAAGATACACATATATTCCCAGATTGAGTTAATAACGGGTAGTGTTCCCAAGAAGCAGTTCTCAACCAGCTTTTGAAAAATAAATTCTTTTCAACTTTAAAAACAACCAAGAACCGAATCTCACAACAGTTATAGTCAAAGAGTCGTTGGTGGCTCCCACAGGGTGCAGACCGGTCAAAGAAACAGCTGAGACGGTGTGCACCTGACATAACGCCAGTGAGAGGTACAACACCTTGGCGAGTCTACAAAGTACACCACACTACATTGTGAGAAACTAACAACACTCTTCTCAATTAAAACTCAAGATGAACAAAAAATAAGGTCAAACATACACTGGTTGTTCATGTATACATGATATATATATATATATATATATATATATATATATATATATATATATATAAAAAATATATACCACATGTGAGGCAGCGTGGTGAAATCAGGCGCTGGTCAAAATAATGTCATCAAGGAAACTGGCATTTTTCTGGCCATAGGGTATTAAAAAATTATATTTTTTGGCTCAACACCTCCTATGTGCATTTAAGAAAAAATTTTTGTGTGGATTTTACTGAAAAACGTTGATTAAAGGCACCGAAATGTATATTTTCAGTTTCCAAGGACACTCAGGCTTTGGAATTCACCAAACTTTGACAGCCATTTTCTTGTTAATTTGATCTCTGGCACCAGGCGACCCCTACCTCCTTCAATCGCAAATATCTGGACTTCTGTTCAAGATAGATGGGTGGTTTGTTTTTTTTACCAAATGCAAGACAGATGAACGAGCTTTATGGTGATACCAACACTCCACATGCCCCAAAACTGACAAGCGCCTGACACCACCGCGCCACAACATATATCACTACAGTACGATATACACGTACAAGGTGTTCCAGCACTGCTTGGAAATGAAAACCGCAATGGAAAAACAAGTCACATATTCAGGGTAAGAGAAAAATACATTTTAAACTCCAAACCACACTACAGTTTTGTCGTTTTTCCTCTTCTTCCTTCGTTTAAAAAAGGATCTTTCTTCACTTAGGAGTGAGCCTGGCACTCCGTTTTAAAACAGTTTTCAAAGGAATACAGCAGAAACATCGCACTCTGCACAAGCTAAACGTAAAAGGCAATAACTCAATATTTTCGAGTTTGTGACTTTAATCATTTTGCCATTGTGCTTTTCAATTGAAAACAATACAAAAAATAAAATAAGCAAAAACAAGATCTATGGACAGAGCTATCATACGCACTGTACCAGGGGTGCCATGGACCAGATATTGCTTTAAATAAAACAAATCAAAACAATACACGGGGAAATGGAAGCATGTCGCTGGGTTAAAAGAGTAGGGAGGGTTAAGAAATAAATCTAGAACCGCTGAACAAAATGGGAGCGGGGGGGAGACTCTCTCTCTCACTTTCACTATCCAAGCCCCAAAAGCCACCCACTACTTTTACACATCCCTAAACTTGAAGTACAATTGTACTTTCGTAATACAAAATGTGATGGCCATTGAAAAAAAAAAAAAAAAAGCAATGACAGGGATGACGACTATTACAGCAAAAAATCATGACCACGTGCGACCACAAAGCAATATTGTGCTGATCAGTTGGCAGTTTTTAACAACCTTTTTTCTTGGTGATGCATTTAACATTTCTCCTGCATAAGCTTAGACTTCCACATTGAGATTGAGAGAGACTAAAGGAATAAATACAGACCCCCTGAACAAACCAGCACTGGAGCCATCAAGAGCAAGGTTTCTCCCCAAAACCAGCAATGAGAAAATGTTCAATACAGTTAATTCTTTTTTTTTTTTTAAATCTGAAATACTGCCTCCCCAAAAAGTTGTGTTTATTGCACAGCCCAACACATTGAAGACATTGCGGTCTCTGAAACAACATCATCTGGTCACTATCTAGAGACCATCACGAGACCAGCACAACACGCAAGGAACCCCTGACCACAACAGTAAGCTTGACCGACAGAGTAGCAGATGATTTATTGTACACATTTCACAAAAAAATGGGTCCACGATAAACTGGGCCTGCACCGAAAAATCAACCGAAGACGAGCCGCATTTTAGCTTTGGTCAACCACACAATTCATGCACAACTCACTCCCGCGTCTGAGGTGTAATGGCAAGGCTTTTTGCCGCTGCATGCAGAAAACGTAAGTCCTCTTCCCATGTAGGGAAATTATTTTATTGAGTGTGTCTCTGTCTGTCTGCTGGGAAGCCTATCACACTCAGCCTGCACTGGCCCAGACTGGCAAGACTGAAGCAGCCCTCACAGATGATCTAAATTGTGTCCATGTCAGCATAAAAATAAAACATTTACATTCAATTTCACACAAAAAAAGCACTGTACATCTCAAGATCTTTGCAAACAAAGCAAAAGTGCATACTAAGAAATACTTTTTAAAGACATTTTTAGTTCAAAATTTCTGATATTTTCACAAATCAGCTTTGCAACTGTCTGCCCAAACATACACTAGACACATAGACTCCCAATATGCCACCTATAAATTCGCCACCAGCTATTCAGATGTACTTAGCCCAAGATTTTGAAAAATCTTAGATTGCAGTTTGGTAATCTGTGATATCAGCAACATGTGAGCTCAAGAAATGTTTTGTCAAAAACCAAATTCTAAATGTTGGAAAAAAAGCATGAAAAAAATACATATATATAATGTAGGTAGAATTATTGAACATTAAAAAATGAGACAATTTTTTTTTTCTTTCTCCAGCAAACATTGGCTTTCTGGGCATAGGAACATTGGAACAGCTAGAAAATGAGTTACTTTCCCCACACAGGTACAGTACAGTAGATGTTTGTAAGCAAGTGTTTCAAAAGATGGATCGGTCAATCTGATCACTGTCTTTTGTGCAAATGTTCAACCAGAGGAAGCTGGGGGCCTGGGGGAAAAAGACTCAAACATGAGCCAGAATTCTTTCTCTATAGCTCTCTCCTCTTTACAACGTATGTGTGGGGGCCACATGAGCCACAGACAGAAAACAAAGTGTCAAGCCGTGCGTGCCTACAATATCACATGACATCCAGGATAAGAACTCTCCCACGATGGAGATTTTCTTAGATGGCGGCTTTCAACCCCCGCCAGAACAGCCTTAAGATGACCAGAGAGACAACGGCATGCTAGAGAAACTAACGGAAACTGCAATGACAATACACATATTCATTTCAATACATCAGTGAGTATATATATATTACAATAAAACATCCTTTCATATATATATAACAACATCTTTGTATAATCTTCATCTCTGACCAGGGACATAAATCTTAAGTTAAAGAGGGAAATAGAACAGAAATACGCACAGACAATAACACACAAAAGAACACATGATTGTTTTCTCTGTGGAGTAAGTCGTGCAGTACAAAGTGTCGACCGCCATTTGAAATTAAAAAAACCCAAGTACATGCCAACCTGAGTCAATTCGATTTTCTAAAACATTTGTAGAAAATTACTATTATCTTTCTACTACTGTAGTTTGGTACCGATCATATCGAATTCAAATACTTCAAAAACACTATTGAGGTGGGACAATATCAACAGATAGCATTGCTGTAAGTGTTTCTACAAATCTGTGACAAAACTAGATTGTGTTAGAGACAAGGTTTCTTCAATTCAAACGACAGCGTAGATCTCAGTCTTATCATGGACCCAGCTACAACCCCCCCCGATGCCAATTTACGATAAGACACAAGCCAAAAGCCTTTCCTACTTCACCTAGAACTATAATGCACATGTCAAACTCAGCCCAACCTTCTTGGACATGGGCGAAAAATCTCGAAGGGCCCATGTGCAAGTTGTGCATGTAAAAGTAAAAGATCCCTTGGTGGTCTAAAATCGATTAGAGTAGGCTTCGGCCGCCACCCGGGCAAAATTCGAAATTACCTACCAACTGAAAAGGTTTAATGTTTTCCGCACGCTCATATGAACTTACGCAGTTGCGAGCGCCGGCCCACTGAACATTTATACCTAGCCCGAAAGAGAATTTTAGATAGTTCATAATATTGAGAATCTGCACAAACACAGAATCTCATTTCAAACAGAAACGGACTCATTACCAAGAAAAACTGCCAAACATCCAGCTCTGACAAATTGGGATAAAAAAAAAAATTGGTATGCTTTGATTTATTATTTCAACTTCTGTCTGTTTGAACTCACATCAATGTTAAAAAATAGGTGTAGTTTTCCACTACTCCGTGAGTGTTTATCCCATTCAACCTGCAACCTAAAGTGTACTTTGAGTTTGC